AAGAAGATGAAAAATGGAGGGGGGGAAAGAAGAGAGGAGATGGGCAGGGGAAGACCGGAAGAGGAAGGGAGAGATAGAGAAGAAGAAGAAGACGAAGAAGAAGAAAGGGTGCAGCAGGGAAGGGTAGATTTAGAGACGAGTGAGGTAGATCTAGGAAATTTGAGAGTAAATGAAATTTATTCATAAGGGTATTTTTGGAAGAATTGGGGTTAAAATTAGAAATGGGAAGATTATTTCCGGACGAGAGAAAATGAGAAACGGGAATTATTTCTGGACGGAGGGAGTATGATTTCTACTTTTTTCTTAAAATTCTTCTCTTTTTTTAAAAAGATTTTTATGTGAAAGATTATTATTTTCTTTAAAAACTTTAAAAAATTTTAACTTTTTTGTTATCCAATTCATGCTCCTAGTATGTGTATGAAAACATGCAAAATCATTTTTTTTTCTCGAAAATATGCATAACTAAATGCAGAAAGCGTCCCCCACACTTAAATCATGCAGTGTTCTCAATGCATGTCAAAGATATAAAAATGATGAACTTATGCACGTACTAGATGAGACAATTAATTAACAACATGGAACATGTAGAATCATAAAACAAATGCAAGATGAGAGAGATGGAATCATAAGATATGACATGGAAGCACACAAGCCAGATAAAGTGCAAGTAAAGACTAGAATAAAAGAAAAGAAAAAAGTAATAAAATGCATAAAAGTAAAAGTTTAAATATCTGGGTTGCCTCCCAGGAAGTTGCCCTCTTTTAGTATCTTTGGCTAGACTCCTCATTCTGCTCTGGAAAACATGGAGAATCCATATTGTACTCTTAACAACCTGTGATCACCCAAAACAAAACTCCAAAACAAACCAAATAGCTAATCACAAAGGTCAAAATAAACAATAAAACTAGTCTTAGTATTACTCACAAATTAATTTTCCAAATAACCACATAAACCTCTAACAACAAAATTTCTCAAAAAGTGATCAAGTTTCTGAAAAATTAGGAGTTTTGGTGCTTGGGTAACTACTTTCAAAGCACAAATAACACTAATCGTACCCAACACATAAGAGTATTTGGAAAATAACTTTTTTTGTTACTCTGTACTAAAACACCTTTTTTTAAATTTGTAGGAGCTAATTTTTTAAATGATGTGATCATTTTTCAGCTCCTCTATTCTATTCTCTCCTAATGGCTTCCCTTTTTCTCCTTTTAAAAAGAACTTACACCCTTTTCTAACCAACAACATCAAGCAAAACACTCTTTGAAATTTTGTTTAAAAAACATAAAATAGGAACTATTGTCTGAATAGTTTAAATTAAATAAAATCCAATTAAAAATGTTTTTCATTGGTTTTGAACTACAAGAGCAAACGAATTGAAAAAAAACAGAATTTGACTTTTTTTGCTAATAGTTGTTATATTCTTTAAAACAAAGAGTCAGCACTACTCTCATGAATACAACCCTCTAATTAAATTCTTCCCCCTTTCTTTTTCGTACAAATGTAAGAGCAGGAATATCGTTACCCATTAAAAATGTGTCATCGGCATATAGGATTAGGAATACTATCACACTCCCACTGACCTTCTTGTAAACACAAGACTCATCAGAATTCTTCTCGAAACCAAAACTAGTGATGGTTTCATGAAAGCGTATATACCAACTCCGAGATGCTTGCTTCAATCCGTAGATTGACCGTTGCATCTTACAGACTTTGGCACATTCACCACCAATTGTAAAACCATCAGGCTCGGTCATATAGACATCCTCTTTGAGATTCCCGATAAGGAAAGCCGTCTTGACATCCATCTGCCAAATCTCGTAATCGTAGAACGCTACAATCACAAGCATTATCCGAATGGACTTCAGCATCACAACTAGAGAAAAGGTTTCACCATAGTCAATTCCGTGGATTTGTCTATAACCTTTTGCTACCAATCTAGCTTTGAAGGTATGAACCTTCCCGTCTACGTCTGTTTTCTTTTTGAAAATCCACTAGTACCCTATGCGTTTTATCCCTTCGGGCGCATCAACCAAGGTCCAGACTTGGTTTGTGTACATAGACTCTATTTCAGATTTCATGGCATTAAGCCATTCTTCGGATTCAGGGCACATGATTGCCTCGAGATAGGTTTCAGGTTCACCTTGGTCTACCAGTAAGACGTCACCTTCATCAGATACAAGGAATCCGTATCTAACCGGAGGATTACGCATCCGGTCTGACCTACGTGGTAAAACCAGAGCCGGTCGAGATACTAAATCTTGACGCTCGGGTTCTACTGCTATTGAGATCTCTTCTTGTGGTTTTTGAATTTCTTCGAGGTCTACCTTTCTCCGACTAGAAATAGCAGAGAGAAACTCCTTTTCGAGGAAGGTTCTGTTGGGTTCTACGCTTGGATAGGGTAGCGGAAAACAAAAATTTTGATTTCCAAATGTAGATCCACCGAGGACCTCTTATGATTATTACAAGTTATTGTTGAGAAATATACCTTTCCTGGCGAGCAAGAAACAATATGTGTAGGTTGATGGATTGATCCAAGAGCTAGCCACAAAAGTATATGTCCTCCAGTTGAGACACACAGACAATGAAAATTCTCCCTCATCAAAAGGGATGGGATGATCTCCTATTTATAAGCAAAAAGACAATCTCTGAAACATGTTTGACTACTGCTACGGAAAGACTACAAATAATGTAGTCTATAAAGAAGTCTTTAGACATTTGTAAAACATTGATGTTCTTTACCTTAAAATAATATAATCTCTATATTCTATTACATCTCATTTTTTATCATTAAAAAATGATCTGAATTTAATAACATAAAAATGACCCGTGCAACGCACATGTGTGATACTAGTAAGAATAATATTTACACTTTAACTTAAACCCATATATTATTCACATAGCGGGTCAATCCAGCAATATATCCAATATATTTGCCTACATATAGATTTAGATAACACTTTATCTATAGCCTATGAGACGCAACTATCTCATCTCATACGTATTAGTCTTGATATATTATGATGTCTATATTGTCATAAAATTACTGAGATATAATTTTCCAAAATGATATTATCCATTTTCAATACACACACACACACACACACACACACAGATATATATATATATATATATAGACACACACACACACACACACACACACATATATCTATATATATTACTCGGTAATATATATATACCGAAATATATATATATAATTAATTACAAACTAATATTATTTTGTCCATTATATTTATGAAAAACTTTATTTCACCCAGAAATAATATTTCCAGGTTTTATAAAGTTCATTTTTGAGTTTCCAATATTTATTTAAGATTTATTGGAATTAAATCTAAACATATACAATTAACTCAAAAATTGGAAATAAACAATTTCGAAAATTACAATATAATTTATTAACCATAAAATGATGTTTTATGTCCAATAAAATTATATTCACAATTTCGAAATATATATAAATATATATTTTAGAAATACCCGATTATATATATATATAAAATATATTTTCGATACAAATAAATAATGAATATTTATTTTAATGATTTATTTAAGTCCAATATTTATTCCAAGACTAAAATAAATCATTTTACTAATTTTCTAGATTAACAAATAATTACCAAGTTAAAAATAAATTTCCAACCGAAAAGTTCTACGAAAAACTATAGTTTTGTACGTTGGCTCCGATACCACTGAAAGGTAACCACAGTTGGGAGGGCAGCAGAAATACAAAAAATTAATCTCCCAATAGTGATTACTAACCCAAGAACACGTACTAAAACTATAGCTAGAGATAGAAACTTATACCTTCTCCGATTAGCGGTAATGACGTTGAATCGAGGAAAGGCGTTGAATGAGCTAACGTAGCCGTTCAAGCATCCGGCCTCGAACTTTGACACACGAACAATCTCCGGAGTCTACTATAATCTTTATGCTAGTAAAAAGATTATAATAGTACATTTAATATAAAGATTATTTAAGGGATAATATTAATCTTATATATTAAATACTAGAAAATATATCAATAATATTTTAAAGAAAATATTATATCAATTTTCTACACCCAAAATAAGCAATTTGGAAACCAAAATTTCTTCTCCTCTTTTTTTCTCTTTTGGCCGAAAATCCTCTTATCTTTTGGAGTGAAGAAATTTCATATTATAATGTTAAGAGCATAATGTGAGAAAACATATTCAAAAACTAAAAGCCAAGAGTACATCACTTATGATGAAGTGTAGTGGGAGACAAAGCCCCACACACATCAAAATGTGCAAGGTACGAAGGGGAAGAATTTAATTCTTTTCCTCCCAAATGTTCAAAGTGTATTTTATTTGACATCAATAATTTTTATGATATAAAATAAACTACCCAAAACATTTTAAAACAAGTATATAAAATATACGTTAAAATAGTTTTTGGCAAAATAATTATTTTCATAATTAAAATGACACTACAAAATAAAATGTACACAATATAATATATAATGTAATATATATATGTACACGTTGTAAGGCATGTTACACATATTTATATATGTACGCACATCACATTTGTATACATGGACATATGTGTGTGGCGTGTACAAAGCATACACACACACACACACACACACACACACACACACACACACACACACACACACACACACACAACAACAACAACAACAACAACAACAAGAACAACAACCCAGTTGAATCCCACTACAGTAGGGTCTGGGGAGGGTGTGTGTACGCAGACCTTGCCTCTACTCGGAAGTAGGGAGGCTATTTCCAAGAGACCCTCGGCTCAACCTGCACAAAATTATGGAAGGGAACACAGTATAGTACGGGTAAAGGACCAAGTACAAGCAATAGCAAAAGATTCCAAACAAACACAACACACTACAAACAACCTCTACAGCACCGAGCTCCTATCCAGCTACTCTAATCCTAGTTCTCCAAAGGTTCCTATCTAAGGTCATATCCTCAGTCAGGGTGAGAAGTCCTAAATCCTGCCTAATCACCTCCTTCCAATTATTTTTAGGTCTACCCCTTCCCCTACTTCCCCCGATAATCGTAATCCTCTCGCATCTCCGTACAGGAGCGTTAGCATCCCGCCGTCTCACATGACCAAACCATCTCAACCTCGCTTCCCGCAACTTATCTTCCACCAGCGCCATGCCTACCTGATGTCAGATAACTTCGTTCGATATCCTATCCAACCTTGTCTTTCCACACATCTATCTTAACATCCGCATCTCTGCCGCATGCAGACGACGCACATGAGTTTTCTTAACCGCCCAACACTCTGCACCATACAACATAGCTGGTCTGACTACGGATCGATAGAACTTACCTTTCATCTTGGGCAAGATCTTTGGATCACACCACACCCCTGAGGCTAACCGCCATTTTGACCAAGCCACTCCAACACGGTGTCCAACATCACCATCTAACTCCCCATCAGCCTGGATCACTGAGCCAAGATATCGAAACCTGTCTACCTTAGGTACTAGGTGAGAGTCAATCCTAACTTCCACTTCTGATTCAGTTTCCCGGCCGCTGAAACGACATTCCATGTATTCAGTCTTGTTCCTACTTATTCTAAATCCTTTAGTCTCAAGGGCAAGGCGCCATAGTTCTAACTTATCGTTAAGTCCCTCGCGTGTGTCATCGATAAGCACAATATCATCCGCGAAAAGCATGCACCATGGGACTCCTTCTTGAACAGCTTGGGTTAGAACGTCCATCACCAAGGCGAACAAAAAAGGGCTAAAAGCAGACCCCTGGTGCAACCCCATCCCTACTGAGAAAGACTCAGAGTCGCCCCCGGAAGTCCTCACCCTGGTCATAGCCCCATCGTACATATCCTTGATAGCACGAGTGTACACGATGGGAACTCCTCTCGTCTCAAGGCACCTCCATAAGACCTCCCTTGGCACCCTATCGTACGCCTTCTCAAGGTCAATAAACACCATATGAAGGTCCTTCTTCCTAGCCCTATACTCTTCCATTAACCTCCTCGCGAGATGAATGGCCTCTGTAGTCGATCTGCCAGGCATAAAACCAAACTGGTTCTCAGAGATGCAAACCCCTTTCCGCACCCTATACTCAATGACTCGCTCCCAAACCTTCATGGTGTGGCTAAGCAGTTTGATGCCTCTGTAATTCTGGCAGCTCTGAATGTCACCTTTGCCTTTAAACAGAGGGACCAAGAGACTCTCCCTCCACTCATCAGGCATCCTTGTTGTCCGGATGATAACATTGAAGAGTTTTGTTAACCAAACCCTTGCACCACACCCCGCATGCTTCCAAAACTCCACCAGAATCTCATCTGGTCCCAAAGCTCTCCCACTACGCATCCCGCGGAGGGCCCGAACCACCTCTTCATGGAAAATGTGCTGGCAATACACACGAGACGCCCTAGACTGCCCCAAGTCATCAAGAACTAGCCTCTGGTCTCCTCCCGCATTTAAGAGTTCACTAAAGTACTCCCCCCAGTGCTTAGCCACCTTGGCAGTCTCAACTAACACTCTACCATCGTTGCCCTTCACGCATCTCACATGATCCAGATCTCGGGCCTTCCTCTCACGCACCTTAGCAAGCCGGAACAGTGGATTAACACTGCCTTTCTCCTCAATATCCTTGTAGAGGCGTTCAAAAGCGGCATTCTTTGCCCTCGTAACCTCTAACTTAGCTTCTTTACGTGCCTTCTTGTACTCCACCCGTAACGCCGCTCTTTCCTCCTCAACATTGCAGCCCATGTACCTGAAATACGCCACCTTCTTAGCTTCCTTCTTACTTCGGACTGAATCGCTCCACCACCAATCACCCTGATGCCTACTCCCAGAGCCAGAGCTCACCCCTAACACTTCCCTGGCTGTTTCCCTGATGCAGTTAGCAGTCCGCGCCCACATATCAGTGGCCTCTCTAGACGATTCCCACGCACCTTTCTCTTGCACTCGCCTGATCAACTCAGAGATATTCTCCCCACTTAGTCTCCTCCACCGTATTTGTGTGTTGCCACTCGAAGCTCTCGTATGTTTCACCCACCTGATCATGACATCCATCACTAGAAGCTTGTGTTGGGTAGTGATGTTTTCACTCAGAATTACTTTAGCATCCTTGCAGAGCACCCGATCACACCTGCGCAGGAGAAGATAGTCGATCTGTGTCATCCCCACTCCACTAACAAATGTAGCCAAATGGTCGTCTCGTTTAGGGAAACAAGAGTTAGCAACCACCATATCACTCGCTCTAGCAAACTCCAAGAGTGAAACTCCCGCCGGATTCCTGCTGCCAAAGCCAAAACCACCGTGCACGTCCTCGAAGCCCTCGTACGATTCTCTAATATGGCCATTGAAGTCGCCTCCAATGATGACTTTCTCAGTATGTGGAAAACCAACAACCACCCCATCCAAGGCATCCCAAAACTCCCTCTTTACTTCGTTTGCCAAGCCAACATGCGGGGCGTAAGCACTCACGACATTGATTGCACACCCACCCAAAACCAACTTGATAAACATCAGACGATCACTAATCCTCTTGACCTCCACCACAAACTCTCGCAGCTCCGGCGCCACCAGAATGCCGACTCCATTCCTTCCCCTAGCTGAGTCTGAATACCACTGTTTGAAACCATTGACCTCTCGCGCTTTAGTGCCCACCCACCTGGTTTCTTGCACGCATGCCACCTGAATCCTTCTCCTCTTGAGAACTTGCACCAACTCAATTGACTTACCTGTGAGGGTCCCTATGTTCCATGAGCCAAAACACACATGTGACACTACACTCCCCCTTTGCGACCCTCCTACCCCCGTCCCAACCCCGGGATATGACCTAATAGCTACATTGCTAACCCACGCCACTACACCTACACAACAGCACCAAAAGAAGAGTAGAGACAAAGCTACTAACACAAAAACAGTAGGATACGAACCACTACTAAAGGTAAGAGCAAAAATACAAATAATAGTAAAAAAGTACGGTATGAGCACAAATAGTTAGCAATCAAAGCAACACCTTTACACACAAAGTAGAGCAATAAGAGCAATCAAATCACAATCACATAAGTGCGATAAAAAAACAGTAAAAGAAATAAGCACACGGAGAAGGGTTGGGGCAGGGAAGGCCGGTGATAGAGCAAGGGTGGGGGACTGTAGCTAGAGTATGGTGAGGGTGGGGGCTGGGTTGG